TTGAATAAAATCTCATAAGTATACATACACATGTATTAGAACACTCTTTTCTATCTCGCACCTGTAACTACCTTGACAGTGGAACTTAAAATGAAGGGAATTGTGCTGTCTACTGTTCTATCATGCTTACGATTTATTCTTTGTGATATTTATCGCTACTCGCCTGTTTCAAAGTCAGTTAGGGTTTGCATGTGGGTGGTGATACTGAATGTGTGATTTACAGTTCGCGCTACAATCGTCACCTGATTTACGCATCTTGTTACGGTTCAGTGCTCTAATGTGTCTCTTCGAAAATATCAAAGCATGTCAAAACCCCTAAAAAGTATCAATTATTTTTGTGTGAAAGGATGAAAAAACCTCAATAATGACACACTTGTAGCTGTAGCCAGATCTGAGAGGCCTAGTTCTCCAATGCTATCAGATGCTCTATGTTGCGCACCTGATCTGGAAAAAAATTTCACTAGAACACATTTGTATGAAGCGACAAAGGAAATGGCATCGAATATGAAAAAATTGTCCGAGTCTATCAAAACGATTCCAGCAACGAGAGTCGAAAGCGAGCGCGCTTTCTCAACATTGTCCCTTTTTCACAACATTTAAAATGCAAATGAGCGATGGAACTATCAACGCTGCCACGTTTCTCAGACCTTATTTCAAACAGCACTGAATTAATTATACGTCGAATAATTATTGTTGAATGATCGTTGAATAACTGCAATGGATATATTTAACTGCACTGAATTATATGCTTCACGCCACAGAATAATGCGCTCAATTATTCGTTGAGTGATACGAGGATTAATAGTTGTGTGTGCTGATTTGAATTTGAATAATTTATTGAATACGTTGTATTTGCTGAATATTTTGCTGAATAAAATCTCTTCCGGTTAATTATGATCATATTGCTTTAAAAAATGTGTTTAAAAATGTCACGCATCGATGTTTCAAAAGTTGTTCGATCCGGGCATAATCACGGGATTGAAAGTCGATTCCGGGATTGAAAAAACGTCGGGATTCTGCAAACCTTACTGCGGACGTTATTTCCATTCCTACAGATATCTGAATTTTGAGATGTTGATGTCGCACGATTTTCATGGGAACAAAGAAACGGTTTCAACACCCCGCTATGCTCCCGAAACTGGTTATACATTGTACTGCAATTTTATAATTACTTTTTTCCGAATTTTTAGAGACTTCATTGAATGGACCACGAAAAATGGTCATTCAATTCATCATAACGCAGCTACATTCTGGGCATCTCAAGGCATGCCCTGCTCTAAGAGTTTCATTGGTATAGCACCATACGCTCGTGGATGAACCCTCTTGGTTTGTGGGTGCTCGGGCCCTCTGTCCAGACCGACAGTACATATTTTCGAAAGCGGTATCGCCTCTTACTACGAGGTATGCATGAGCATTTAATTGAATGAATAGTTAATGCGAAGAAAATTTCGACATCCGATGAAACAGCAATTGGGATGGAGATCGAAAAGTTGATTCATTGCTCTAATGAAAGGAAACAAAGATGAAATCTTAATGAGCAACAATAAAACTGCATAGATATGCTGGCGTGTGGAGCGCAGAGATATTGGAATATTGACCTGCAAGTACCATGTTTGGTGCATTACAATCAATGAGTGGTTCGCTTACAACGATGAGGCGCCAGTCAGCGGAAATATCAACTCGAACGTCCATATCCATATGTAACTTTTTTTGAACGTATCTCCTGCTGTGCTCCTTGGTGAGTCCACAGTAAAAGAGGAGCGGTCTCTTTCACAATTTCTCTTCTTCTGTATAAATCCAATACATCCAACAAAACTATTTTGGTGGTGTGTTTGTTTGCAGTCTTGACTAAGACGACTTCAACGGAATCTCTTCCGGTGGCAGGTGCTATCCGATCACATCAACAACTGCCATGCAACTCGTATGTAACGTTTCTCTCGTAGTATATCTACTAATTTCGAAGAGCATTTAAAGAATTACTTAATGTTCAGCTATTAATAAATTGAAAAGCCTAATCTCTGCGGNNCATCACGATAATTTGCGTTGGTTCATTGCTGAATGGAAGCAATTTGTCACCTATTATCACATAAACTCAGATTATTTAGTTCTAAACCGGCGATTTTTCCAAGCTTAAAATTTAAATTTTCATATCATATTTTACGAGTTTTTCTGCTTCGTAGAGCATTCATCAACAGAATTTATTCAAAATTTACAGCATTTATGCAAATGAAATATTCTCAATACAAGCATCCGTGCACGAATACGTGGCCAATCGTTCTCGACTAATCAATTAGTTTATTACGAATCTGCAATACCAGCGATGATTTTTTGCCAGGAATCAAAAGTCTTTCATTCTCAAATAACCCGAATAATCGAACGTATCCTCACGTCCAGCTCGAGTACATCTCACCTGTAAACTGTATTCTCCACTTCCTCGACCNTGAGCTGCATCATAAGCTACAACGCACCCTACTCGCATTGTTCAGGATTTTTCGATCCTCGTCCGTAAGATCCAGTCCTCGCGTAGGAGCCAACGGCAACTTATAGACGCTTTCGAGCTCGTCCTGCGACAGAAAACGTGACATTAGTCTCGGCTGACCACTTCCGCGCAATGTCTCCATCAGTCCGATTCCTTCGATTGGTGGCTGGAAATATTTCAATTGAATATTCACTCTGATATTTCGGAGAAGCTTTAAAAAACAAATAGCACATTTCAACTAATCTATGATAAATGATTACCAAACCATGCAGCAGAGGTCGTCCCATGAATCGAGTAAAAACGTTTTTCCATCCCCATGGTGTCATGAGTACCAGGAATCCAAGAAAGAACAGCACAGCGATTAGAACGCATTGCGGCAACATAACGAAAACAGCGTATAGGGCCTGAAATAGCGATAGGCAACCGTGAGTATTGCACTGTAGCTGCTACCTTGTTCGCGGTAACTGCATCTGATCGCATCGAGTGTTCAACTACTGCCTGAAGGACATCGTTTGAAAGCGTTGCAGGGATAGGTTCCTGAGCAATTCATATAAAATTTCATAAGTTTTCCATTGAAAATAAGTTCATGAAAGAACGAATCAGACTAACTTACCCATTGTTCTGAATTCATACCAAACCTCTCTTCATTTGACCAAACGTCGCCCGGATGATTTTGCTGCTGACTGGATACCATTTCTAACTGAATCGATGTTGCCTGGCGAATGAATTTCTTCGAAAATTTTATGCGATCCGAAAGTGTACAACTCTCGAAACCACTGTTCCAATCAAGAAATACGTCGATACTATGTAAGGTAGTTTCAACTGCGAAGAATGCCAACTTTCATAAATTATTCCAAAATCTTCCCTGCATTTTATTACTGTTTTATGTGGTACCATTTGTATTTCAAAGGTTCATACAAAATAAGATCCACTGCTTATGCACTTTCACTAATACACAAAATGCTTCTTGTCGTGAAATTTGCAACTAACCACTCAGTGATTACGCTCAGCCGTTTGCTTCTCAAACCTTTTACTCAATGATTCCGAAACAAGTCATTCATAGTGCAGCGAACGAATGTTTTATTCAAAGTCACTCCACTGTTTCTACTGAAATCTCCTTTATCGATAGTGTTCTTCTACACGAAAATTTTAGTGTAAAGACATGTGTCATTCAATTACTTCATACTAGTGTTCGTCGGGGAACAAGCTCCCCTTCGGGAATCCCGGTGGGAACGCGGGGAACGCTCCCCCCGCGCNCGCAATTTGCCCCCCCCCCGACCTTTTCGCGGGGACCCCCCGTCCAATTTACTCCTTGCGGAAACCCCCCTACGCAATTTGCTTCCCGACTTTTTCGCGGGGACCCCCTCGTCCATTTTTTTTAACGCGGGGTCCCTCCCCGTGCGAAAAACTGCTACCCGACGAACACTACTTCATACCATACGATTTCATGCTGATAATTCCTTAGTGCAAACCGGATTATCCAATATCTATATTTTAAAGTATGTTCATATTAAATGCGACATCACCACATGGAAACTCACAATCAGTAAGAGTCTAAATAAATGAAAAACCGGACAAACGGACTTGGTTGACCATGCCGAGAATTTTTTACTAGAGTGAATCAACTGAGATTATCGAGAAAGTGATTGCATTACCGAGCGCTAAAACTAACGAACAAAAGAAAACGATCAAGTTTATCCCCGTATAAAAGAGTTTTCTCCTCTCGATAAACTGATCGGTTCAGCCGGATTTGCTTTCCACTCTATGTTTTTCCCGCTACCGATATATTTTTTGTTATTTTGTGTATGAGCCATCATCGGCATCTTTCGTCACTCAACTCAATCTTCACTCTACCCAACCATAATTATCGTCTATATTTATCGTGTGGATAAATCATATTATTAATTGTCGCCTTTGCACCAGCAACACAAGTAACATCACGTACAGTGTCAGTCAACATCACAAACAGTGCCGATCAGGAACACAAACATCCACAAATTGAAATCCTCATTCCAAATTTTCAGACTGTCCTGCTCCGTTCTGTTCCGCTGTTCAACTGTTCTACTCCATTCTTGGGAGGAGAACAGGAATGGATCAATTTGCGTGGAACAGAAACACCACTACTTTGTCGGACTGTACTCCGAGAATGCTCGAATTGTGACGATTCCAGACCAATGATAATTTTGTAAATTTTCTTCACAATGTGAACTTCGGCATCCCCACTTTTGTTAGAGAATTTATAGATTAGAAGCATGACAAACATTCATAATTTATTTTGCTTGGTAAGTTGTTTGCACTGAAATCATTTTATTCAGCACGAAAATAATCAGCTCTCAAAAACATTATTCACATAACACAATCAAATGGCACTCATGCTTATGATCAACAGAATTTAACGGGAATCAATGTGAAAAGAAAGACGATGGATCGTGATAGGAATAGACTATAAAGGTTCACTGTTTAAACTGTCTTCGCAATTATGCTCTTTCATCTGTTGCTTTGTTGGGAATGTTTTGTGACACTCTGAACACTCGAACTTGACCAACTCTGGTGTTACAACATAAACGTGCATCTTGATCAGATCCTCGTGGTGACTGTTCGAGCATTGCGAATGAGTTCTAAATGAAAATTTTCAATCCATGCGAGGTGATTATTTTATGCACACAGTAACCATCAATCACTTAACGGTGTACCACAGGCGAATTGCGGTATGTATGATTAATAAATAATCTGTAGATACTCTGAACTGGTTTTTTGAAAAGTTAACCAATGCAGTTCACAAGCAGATGTTAGCATTTCGTATGAAAATTCGGCAAATACCACTGCACGCGTGACTCTTCTTAATTGATCATTGAACTCATCATTCCGAATAAGGAAAAGTGAAGTGAATTGTATACCTGAGATGAGAACGAATACCACGTTGTGAGTAGCCTTTATAGCCACAAATTCGACAAACATATGCACGTATTGCTGAATGATTGGCACGAATGTGTTGAGCAAGCTGATTTGCACTCGCTGGTTGAAATTCACACTGTTGACATCGATTCAGTGCCTCAAATCAAGTAAGTGATCCATCGTCAGTTGCATCACGAAACAATATTTCTTATCGTACTCATCAGCAAACAACACTTCAGTCGAACAAAAGGAACTTTATTCTCCTACACATCAGGTTTGGAAATGAGTCAATTACTAGAAATGCGAACATCTGATCTCAAAATGATCTCATACAAACCGCTTATTTTGAGCTCAAGGTCGCTATTAAACGTATTCCCTCAAAAACGCACCTTCTTCTGTGGTTCACGGTTAATTTCGGCATGGTTCGCCACACTGTTGCAGTAATACTTTCGATGACCTTCCAATGTGGTTTCACTATTGAATGAAACACCACATTCACATCGGTAGCGTTTTTCTAATTCTCTTGTTGAGTTTTGCTAAAAAAAAACAATATTCAGGCATGAAAAATATTCATAAAAATATTCAATTATCGGTAATTAAACAACGGTAGAAGAGCTATGCAACATTTCATATGAGCACAGTTTCTTTATTTCCAAAAAAAATTCCTTCAGTTTTTTTCCGTCAATTTTCCGAGTATTGAAATTGAAATAATCTGAAATTGAAAATTTTCACAAAATGAAGCACAGAGTTATCGTAAA